AGGTTTAATTCCCATTAGTTATAACTTTTAATTTCAAAAGGTTTAAAAAGATACAATTCTATTAAAGATTAATAGAATTGAGATGGAGAATCTCTGACCCTTTCTTTTTTGCCAGAATTTAGGTTGCACTTTTATAAGTCTACTATTCTCCCATGCATTGAATATTTCTGCCACATATGATCTGGTGCTTCTGCTATGTATGTAAAGATTCTTGACAGAATCCAATAAAGAATCTAGAATGTTATTGGTTCGGATCTGACATTTTAGCTTCAATCACTTTCCTACCACTGTAATGTAGCTTCCTTTTGCCTTTTCTATAAATACTTTCAGAGTAATTCTTCTGATGAGCTTTACTCTTTGATAACTGTACTTCCCAAATTTAAGTGCAGTACCAGAATGGTAGCTATGTCTACTGAAATTGCTAGATGTAACTATAATCCCTATGCTAATAGTCTAACACTTCTCACTTGTGGAATTATTCTGGCTTCTTGCTTTCCTGTCAACAATGAATTTCAGAAATTGAAATGTAACATCATCATCTTCTATCTCCTTGAATCCTGGCTCTTTATTGTTTGTTTATTTGCTCTCTCTGTCTCTCTCTCCAATGTTTTATCAGTTTCTTTCACTCTCTGTATCCCCTCTCTTGGGATGAAAGGATTAAAAAAAAAAAAAAAAAAAAAAAAAAAAAAAAATTTATAGCAGTAATTTATGGATGCGCAGTTTCAAAGTAACCAGTTCATGTAAAAGATTCCTATCCACAATTTTATATTTAGAATATGTGGAACAGGCATGCAACTGTATATCATAAATGGTGAAACTAAAATACTGTCGATCCAATATGTTATATTTGTGATTTTATAAACATGTAATTCTTCTAGATTTTGTTTAAAGTGATTTTACTATAAGAGTGTAAGTAAAATAATTTTGATGAATATCAGTGAAAAAAAAACAAAAAAAAAAAACAAAAAAAACAAACAAAAATTTTAATGGCTTATCAACCCTTTGCAGGTTATTTAAAGTAAAAATAATATTTTTAGATTGTAATTTTTTTTTGGGGGAGGGAGATAATGATTTACTGATAAGAGTGTTACTAATTAACCCATAGCTGGAGGAGAGGTAGAATAATACTTTTCCCTCACTGAAGGTATTTGCAAAATAAGTGAATATTAAAAAAAAAAAAATTTGGAATTGGAAATCTGCTCTCCAATTAACAGTTCTGAACTTATCCATTACACCACCAGCACTTCCAAGTTTACAGCACCTGGTATTCCCAGGCAGTCACTCATAAGCTACTGATCAGGCTCTTGCATGGAATAGGTGTTTCAAACTAATGTGGCCATAAGGCCTGAAATATTTGTTCTTTATTTCATACCAGTGTGTGTGTGTGTGTTTCGGATGGAGTATATGAATAAAGATAAAAGGAAAACTTATCTTAGCTGATAAATGATTTTCTCTTGATAAAGTCCCTAAGAAGATGAAACATGTTGGCTAAGATAAGTTGTCCTTCATATTATCTATATACAAGGTGGCAATAAAGTCATTATACAGTTACTTATTAAAAAAGAAAAGCAGTGAAGCAGGTGGCTTGCAATTCGAACAGTATCAGTGATTAATTTACTATTATTTACCATTTATTGTTATAAACCAGAACCATTTTAATAAATTTCTGGACTGTTGATTTGTTGCTTTGTCTTAATTGTTATTGTAAGTAACTGTATAATGACATTATTGCCACTATTATATTATATATATATATATATATATATATATATATATATATATATATATATATATATATATATATATATATATATATATATATATATATACACACACAAGACATATATAGTGTGCGATAGGTAAATTGTCACCATTTTATACTTTTAATTTTGCACATGCATGTTTGTTTTTGTTGACTGCACAGTATGGTAGGGTAGGTTGGGCACTGTCTGTAAGAAATAGAGCACCATGATGCAATACACTCCACCAAAAATTTTGAAACTGCATGCTGTTCTGCTTTGCATTAGCACCAGAAGCTCCAATATGAACATTTTGGAGTGTTTGGGTGTCAATCTGAGGGCAGTGCAGAAAATTTGGAAAGAGTTGGAGGAGTCTAATGTTGATTGTGAATTTATGGCAGCTCAGAAAACTCACTCTGATCATTCCGATAAGAACTCCCAAATTTGTTGGTGAGGGCCTCAGACCCAACACAGAGACCTACATAAAGTGCCTTGAGGAGGTAGTGTTGCCCTAGGTAAAGAGGGTGGCTGTTGAAGATCCTATGTCTGGCAAAAAACCTCTGCACCATGTCACACAAACTGGGAACTCAGTCATAGCTGTCATTCTGTGACACCATCATCCCTTACATCTGGCCACCTAACTCTCCAGACTGCAACCCCCTTGATTATTATGTGTAGGGCACAGCTGAGCAAGATACCAAGAAAACCTGGACAGAACTGATACCATAGAGATGCATGAACCCATAAAAAGGCGTCAATATTGTATACTGCTCAAACAAAGAAAAATGGTTGACTGAGCAGTTGATTTAAATGATGTAGGCAGGCGTAATCGAGAGATCCAATAGTCTGTGGGGTTTTCCAATAGTTTTAGTAGAAAAGAAGGATGGTAGTAAGAGATCCTGTATTGAGCACTTAACAAAATTACAAAGAAATACTCTTGTGCAATCCAGTTATTGGCATTCTGGCATAGCTCAGGTCAGCAAAGTACTTCTCTAAGCTGGATTTAAAATTCAAGTACTGGCTGATTAAACTTCATGAAGATGACAAAGAGAAAAGTGCATTTACTTGTCACTAGGGATTATTTCATTTCAATGGGATGCTCTTTGGACTCCCAAATGTCCCCAGTGTTTTTCAGGAATTTATGTGAATTGTGTTACAGGGCCAAGAAGATTTCACTCTGGTGTATCTGGATGACATTCTGTATAAGTGCTTTAACAGACACAATACTTGGGTTTCAAATTTAGCAAGAAGGGGATACAGCCAGATTTTGATAAAGTCAAGGCTACAAAGTCAGTTTTGACTCCAAGCACTGTTAGGCAGGTAAGAGCCTTCATTGGAATTACCTTGTACTATCACTGCTTTATTAGAATTTTTCCTGTATTGGCAAGCTGATTAATCTAACGAGGAAGTATGTGCATTTCCAATGGGACGAAGCATACCAGGCTACTTTTGATAGACTAAAAATGAAGCTCATAGAGATGGTGATACTAGCTTATTCTGACCCAAATAAGGACTACAGACTGTATACTGACATCTCCGATCAATTGATTGGCGCATGTCTGTCCCAAGAAAGAGGTAGAAAAAACAATTTATTTTTCTGTTTTATAAATTAAGTGATATGCAGACAAGATGGTCAACCATAGAGAAGAAAGTTTATGCCATATACTATGCCCTTCAAAAACTAAACCACTACCTGCATAATGCAACATTCACCATTGACACAGATCATAAAACCCTAGAGCATTTACTCAATTTGCCCATTCAAAATAAGAAAATACAAACATGGGCTTTGAGCATGGCTGGCTACAATTACCTCAGAGGTAAAGATAATGTTTGAGCCGATTTCGTCACATGCTGGTGACAATGACAATCCTCTGGTAGATGGAAATAATAGGTATTACCTAATTAGTGCAATAAATTTGAATCTTTTTAAGCTGAAAGAATTTGCATCATACAAAAATGATGATGACTCATCAGTGGTGGCCAAATGACTCACATTGCAAAGAATAAACATAATTAGAGAGCAAGAATCTGATAAAGACATTTTAGACTGAAAAGTAGAATTAAGAATGGTGGGTCTACCAAAACAGAACAAAAAAGTATATAGTAATGGACAAGATAGTGTATTACTTGTCTCAGCATGACAACGAACCTCTAGTCAGGCTATATATGCTGTCTCACCTTAGAAAAAGGTGTGTTGGTGTAATACCATGGTGACAATGGCTATATTTTCATGGAGAAGATATTTCAGGCAATCAAATTTCTCACCCTGTTTGCTTAAAAAAAGATAAATGACTTTGTAAGTAAATGTATTCCATGCCAGACTAGGAATTTGGAAAAACAGCAGCCTCACATGCAGGAGTGTGATTTGCCCCAGTTTCTCCTTTATATATCTCCAGACTTTACACAAGAACTCATTCAGGTATCAATACATAGTTACATTCATATATATATATATATATATATATATATATATATATATATATATATATATATATATACAGTGGTTGGCCTGAATCTTTTGCCATTTCCAACAAGAAAGCAGTAATACATCTTTTAATTTATTAATTTTTTCCCAGATTTGGGGCACCACTTCATTTTTGAACCCACAACAGGTCAGAGAATATCAACAAAATCATGGAAAAACATTGAAGGACCTAAATATGCAGCATATGACCACTTAACAACCCCCAAAAGTAATGGCAAGGTTGTGAGTTTTCACAGAATGATGCATGATATTCTAGCCAAGAAAATTGGTAACAACAAAAAGTCATGGGACATTTACATCAACCAGATGTTAGCGGCTGTGAGGTTTCATGTGAGTGACACCACAAATTTTTCACTACATTACCTGCTCTATAACAGGTTTGTTTTCTGCCATTAGATAATGTATTGAGGCTTTGTCATATCATATATATATTATGGTGATGAATATCACAAAATCACCCTGCAAGAAAAGTCTTGCACTTTCACTTTAGTTAGGAGTTATATAAGGAAATCAAGGAAAAGCGGGATGGAGGAGTCCCTTAGCAAGACCAAAGATGTAGAGTTTAAGGCTGGTAAGTCAGTGTACTATAAAAACCACTATAAGAGTAGTTAATTGGATCTACACTGGCAACCATATTATGTGGTGGTTGAAAAGACTGGACCCATCTCTTTATGGAATTAGAGATCAATTGACTGGCTCAAGCATGAAGACGCATGCCAAGCACCTTTGGGTGGCATCCATTGAAGAATGGAAAATTCCCACTATATAGAGACTTATGGAAGATCGTATTGGCTGCTCCAGTAGACCCCAGTGATTAGGGAAGAGAGTAAAAGAAAAAATGGGGAAGAGAGGGAAGGGAAAAAGGGGGAAGAGAGGGAAGGGAAAAAGGGGGAAGAGAGGGAAGGGAAAAAGGGGGAAAGAGGGAAAAGGGAAAAAAGGGGGAAGAGAGGGAAGGGAAAAAGGGGAAGAAAAAAAAAAAAACTCGATTGAGGACATTATGCAGAGTACATAACAGAGATGGACCTTATCAGCTTTGCCAATTTTGCACAACATATTTTGTGATATTGATCACAGGTGCACACAATTGTATAATTTTCTTGTTTCTCTTGTTTCACTTATTGTGTGTGCCTAGATTGTGGTCATAGAGAGATGCAGTGAAAGACACTCACTTACTTCCGCTGCATCATTGGGTTAGCGGAAATCAGAACTGGTGGTAGAATAAACAGAAAATGCATCGAGCGGCTAAAATAAACTGGGTGTACACATGTCCTGAGCCTAGAACAAACAGATGTCCTGGTTGAAAGGAAATACATGGTTGTGTGGGTGCATGCTGGAAGAGGCGTGGCCACACAAAGTTGCTTAGGCAACTTACCAGAAGAAGGTGTAGCCATGTGAACCTGCGTAGGTGTCCAAATATTATTTAACCAGTCTGATTCTTGATCTGGACAGAGTAGCTGGCTAGTGGTTCATTGAAGATTTGTCTCAGTTAATTCCTGTGTGAGCAATCCTAACCTCTTTGATTCTCATCCACTCTACCTATTCACCACAACTTGAACAATAAAGATATTCATATATTTTTATATATAAGTGTTTGTCTCTTTATTTGAGCCCAGCACCAATATACTACACAGGTATGCAACATTAATGCTTTTTCCATTAGGGGCCAGTATGAAAAGATTGTTTGGCAAAGCAACCCTAAAACACAGCTAGCTATATGAAAAAAAGTACAGAGAAATGAAGTTGAGGTCAGAGTTCTTGAGAGAGAGTCCTTGTACCTTGTTGACTGTTATGACAAAGCTGATCATTGTTGGGAATTGAAATTGCTCGAATTCAAAGTGCAAGATTGTAGATATTTTGGGGATTCTGGGAATAAATACATTCTTTCTGCCTATTTCAATTAGGATAGGCTGTCTCAATGACTTGTGAGAAAAGTTCTCTTGCATAACTTTGGAGGATCAAGGTTTTGTTCGAAAAGTATGATGACTACCTCAAATTTTATCAGAGAGGCAGCTAAAGAGAATTTAGAAACTCAATTATAGTAAACAGCCTCAGAAATATATGGAACTGTATTGATAAATTGAAAAACTCAAATGAACCTCATCAGAAATCAGTTGCACCAACTTTCAGCCTATTTCTTTCAGTACCTCACTCACAAAGCTGCCAGGAGTTTGGGACCATTTAACTTAGTCCTGAAAATGGAGCTTTAGATTGAAAATGTTTTTTCACATTTATTCCACATTTCATAAACAAAACAATTTTACTTTTAGCCCTTTAAGTGGTTTCATTAACATAAAGAACACCAACTAATTTTCTTGTGACTTCAAAAGGATGAATTTGATCTTATCTGCAACTATGATCTGTGAGAGTAAAAAAAAAAAAAAAAACCTTTTCCTATTTCATAGCAAACTCATGTCACTGTTTATTCAAACCTACTTCATTTGATCCAAAATGTCATGTTATTCTTGTGACCTCAGATAACCTCTAAGATTAACTTCACAGACTATATCATAATGATGCGTTGCAAGTTTTAATGTCAATAATTAGGTCAATAAGCTTTGTTTTTTGAGCATGATCATGGCATGGACACACAAGCCTACAATATTAGTATAGACATAAGAGAGAGATAGGTAAGCATAAATAATAAATTTTTGAGAAAAAAAAAGCTCAGAGTTGAATTTAAACATGTACTACTATCAGTTTTCTCTTCAATGACATTAATAAAAGCTGTCCATGAGTTTGACAATAGAAAACTCAAACTGTAAAATTCAATGCAGGTTAATTGAATACTGAAAACATTGACCCTAATTTTTTCTTTACTTTAGTGTTACACAGAAGCACAAAACATGCCTGTTTATAAAATGACTTAAATTTGTCTAATTAAATACATTTTTACTAAGAGAGAAAAAATAAACTGAATAAAGAAATACTATATTTAATGAAAAATTAAAAGAAACTAATCAAAGGAATTTTTCTTGGTTGACATTTTCAACAGCCTTTCAATCTGTCATAAATTTTGGAATACTTTTAATTTTTTTAAAAAATCCACTTTACCCTAGAAAGGTGATAATGTCACTAAGACATCAGGGGTTACTAAAGAGAATGAGAAAACTTTAGTGAGGAGAAAGGACAATAAAAGAACAGGAAGACAAGATGTTGATTGCATTTACATTTTTGAAGATCATAGGTGGCAGGGAAGAAAGAAAACTGAAGAGAGTTCCATAGGTGAGATGAATTATGATGACTTCATGACATCCTCAATAAGCACCATGTTTTTAAACCAAGTAAATTTTTAGAGATGGGGCAAGAATGTCCCAAGAACATATTTTATATAATAATGGTATTATCTTAGAGAAATTACCTAATTAACAACATATTTATAAATCCCCTTAAGATAAAACAAAAATATTAATACTTTATTTTTAAGGAAAGGATTTGCACAAGGACAATGTGGGCAATTTACTTAACTGCCTGTAGATCATTTCAGGTAGGTTCAAGTTTAGCACAGATCTTAAAATGTTGTATATTCAGATAAGCTATATCAACAGATACTAAAAAGCACGATAAATCAGTAATGATTTTTCAACCTTATCAAAACCCAAGTAGATTAGCCCACCAGATACAATTTAAACAGATTGGCTCTTGTGAAAATGTAGAACAATTTATAGCCTTGGAAGCAAAAGTAAAAAAGAAAAGAAAAAATATATTTACAAAGAAGCATAAAAAAATATTTCTTTTAAGACATAAAATTTCACAGGAACCAACCTTCCTGCTACTTTCTGAAAATTCTAATTCACTACCCAACAACACCAGAGGTGGCAAGACCATGGTAGCATGAAGTTTGGTTTTCCTGTAAAATCTTGCAGCCAACTTTCTTTTAAATGTTTCCTTGAAGATGACAGACAAGGAAAATTTTCAACCACTTCTTAAGTCATCTTCAAGGGGATTTGTTTTTAGGTGTTAATTTCTCTTCATGTTTAACTGTTTAAGATGTAGTTTTGTGCTATTTTCAATACTAGTAGGAGTATCTATTCTGTGCTTCATCTGTTGAGCTTAACTGGAATTTGATTGAGCATCTTTCTGTTTGTTGAAAAAAACAAAAAAAAAAACAAACAAACTTTCAACACATTGTTCCCATTGTTGAATAAGGTGAGATTTATACTGGGAGTGAGAGTGAGATGTTTTGGTAATGTGATTTACATAAAATGTTAGTGTTTTCAACCAGAATTTTCCTTAAGGGTTCTTGTAAATTGAATTTGGTCAGATAAGTGGCATATGAGGCATCTACTCAAGGAGGTAGTGGTATGTCTGATACAGGTAACTGATTTATGGCAAGAAACTGGGCAGTGAAATTTATACATTATACTGGTCATTGCTAGTTTAGACTTGATGGGGGGTTATTTTGATTAGTGACAACAAAGATTGCTGTTTTCTATTTTCTGTATTATAGAAGTTTTACATGTTTTTTGGAATTTAAGGCAAAAACATGGTGTTTAATGATTCTTAGTATAGCAAATTTGGCCTGCTTATAATTATTGCACATCTAGTTACTATAAAATATGTTGATGTTTTGTTGTATGATAATTTTATTATCAATATCATGTATTTTTTGTAAGAATAATTTTTAACAGGTTAAGATGGTAGTGATCAAGGATTCATCTTGGGAGTTGGTTCCACAAACAACATTTCATGGGAAGAAGCCACATGAGTGAAACTTACATCTCACCAATGGAATACAAAGCGAATGAGGGTGGTTTGCTAAAATGTTCATGGTATGGCAGATCTTAGCTGTGAAAGTTAGAACTGGTGGAACTAAGGAATGTAGATTGTCTGAATACTTTCCACAGAAATGATATAGCAGAGAGGTTTGTGATGTTTTGTCTGTAGGAAAGGGGTGGTAGAGTGGAAAATAATTCATCACCCACAAGGATGCAGAAATGTTTTTAGACTATTGGAACTGGAAAGTGAAGACTGGGCATCTCCTATGAATGACAACTACAAAAACACTTAAACACATTGAATTGCTTTAATTACAATTTTGCTAATACTATTTTGTCATGTAGAAATCTCATAAAGAAATATAGTGCAGCAGTGACAAGGAAAGGGATTTGGTCCGTGTAACATTGGATATCACAATTAGCACATAATAAACTAGACCGATAATCATCAATTACCTGGAAAATATTATTTGCTTTCACTTCTGGAACTGAAATCATTTAAATATTCCAGGTTAATTGAAAATTTCAGTTCTGAACTCTTTGCACTGGAAATCCTTCCAAAATGGGAAGAGTCTCTTCTCACTAGTTTTGCTATCTTTTCTTACCGATTCATCAGAACTTCAAAGCTAGTTTTGTGATTCATGGCACTAAGGAATTCTTGTTACAACTATAATCTATCTATGGAAAGATTTTAATATTCCACTTTTCATTCTTTTTATTAACAGGAGTAGATTTTTAAGAAAAATTACACGAGTCTAATTCTGTCAAAATGGTTTCTTGCTTGTGGAACTCTTCCAGCTTCTTGCTTTCCAATCAAATTTTGATCTTCAAAAATTTAAATCCAATGTCAATCATTATCTTCTGTCTACTTAATTTCTTTTCTTATATTGTTCTCACTCCTTAATAATGCTTTACTTTTTCTTATATTATTTCATACTCAGTAACAACCTGTGTCTTAGTGGCTTTGTCATCTTGCTTGTGGAGAGGGAATGATTAAAAATATTAAAAATCAAAGTTAAAGAAAAAAGTGTGAAGTAAATCCCCAAAACCAACAAATACTTGAGAAAATTCAAAGCACTTGGCAACCAAAAGATTGGGGTAAAAGCTAACAAAGATAGTTTCAAAAATATAGGAAATAAAAATTGTAGCCATTCTTGTAAAATATTCTTGAATAAAAAACATTACTACAAATGCTAAAAGTACAAATCAGAACCAATGATAGTAATTATTCAGTGTAAAAGATTTACTCATAAGCTTGAGCCCAAAATCAACCAGGCCCCC